GATAAGAACATAGTCTTGTCATTACAAACGTGGATTGTGGCACCGGAATCAAGCCACCAATCGGAGAATTTAGATGCAGCCATGTTAGTTTCAGTAATCATGCCAATTTGTAATTCTGAGACCATAGCACAAATGTCTTCGGATTTCTCTTCAACGGCATTGGCATTGTTGGTGTTAACTTCTTCCTTTTTCTTCTTGTCTCTGCAGTCATTTTGGCGATGGCCTTTCTTTCCACAAAAGAAATAATTTCCAGAAAATTTCTTTTGGCCATTACCGGGCTTTTTGAACTTCTTGTCATTATTGACTTTGAAATTCTTTGAAAACTTACTAGCTTCGGCAACATTAACTTTAGAGGAATCTACATTTTTGTTCTTAGAATCACGAGACTTAGTCTCTTCTTCGATTCTAAAGCGTTTTTGTAATTCCTCCAAAGTTATGTCATCTCTCCTATGAAGGAGTTTCTTTCTATAACCATTCCAACTTTGAGGCAATTTAGCAATAATTACCCCCACTTGGAATGATTCAGAAATCTCAACTTTCAATTCACAAATCTTAGTAACAATGACTTGCAATTCATGTATTTGATCTAGAACGGACTTGGTATCAACCATGACAAATTCTAGAAATTTAAAGATGAGAAATTTGTTCGTACCTTCCTTCTCAGTTTTGTATTTGTATTCGAGAGCGTTCCAAATCTCCACCGGAGACTACATCGAGTTATAAAGATCGTAGAGTCTATCAGAGAGAGTGTTGAGAATATGACCCCGGCACATGACTTCATCATCTCCACGCTTCTTCCTTGCGGTCTTCAATTCTTCGGAATCATCCTCCTTTGGTTCAGAAAGTGGCTCCCATTTCGGATCAAGCACCTAGGCGATCTTAAGCACGGTGAGAAGGAAGAACAACTTTCCCTTCCAGCGGGTGAAGTTGCTACCATCAAAACGATCAAGTTGAACATTAGGATTGAGGAAAGACGTCATGTTCTTTTCAACTTCCATTGCAGCAAGATTAAAACCTTAAAAATTGTAAGAAAAATTTAGATTTGGGAGGATGAAAAGAATATAGAAAGCAAGAATAGGGTTTGAGGCGTATAGGAATACTTTCCTTTAAGGTTTTATTTGCCCTCACTTCTCAAAGTTTGCTAATGAGTTTTAATAGCAAATTACCCCCAAGATACAACAAACTCTTGAACACAATATCCAGTAAAAATATTAAGTTCCAGAACAATAATAAATATGTATTTTCTGAATGCATTAATTAAAGACAGAGATGCATCCATCCTCTTTAAACGTTACAACCTTTCACATAAAGATACATTTTCCAATTTGAAGGTTATCTTTTATATGCTGATGCACTTATAACAATAGTTATTTCTATTGTTAATAAATACTCAGATATGTGAGAAAACATATCACAAATGGATGCAATGGTTTAAGTCCTTTTCAGATCACTAAAACACACGAAAACATGTTTTCCGGTAGCAATTTGTGCTGCAGCGGATGACATTCACGCTGCAGCGCTCGGGCTTCGCAAAACAGACCCGAGAGGTCTGTTTTGTGCGCGCTGCAGCGCTTGCTCCTGCTTCGCAAAACAGACCCGAGAGGTCTGTTTTGTGCGCGCTCCTGTAAAGAAAGAAAAAAATAAAATTGAAATAATAACACGGGGGAGAAAATGTTTTTTCTACATACGCTTGTATTAATTGAAGAGCAAATACACTATATATGGGCAAATACACCAACCACTAAAAGTAAAACAATAAGAAAAATTAAGTTCATTACTCTGACCATTACACCATGACTCCACGTAATTACTAAACACTAACCAACAGATAAAAAAAAAAAAAAAAAAAAAAAAAAAAAAAAAAAAAAAAAAAAAACACCTATAAAGAGTAGCGCTACGACTACCACTTACTGCAACAAACTCCAAATAACACCGGAATACATAAAAACAGTTACGATTCGGTCAAACAATGACCACATGATTATTTTATTCAACATTAACAAGCCTAGTAAAACATGACACCTAACTCAAAAGCAAATCATATTGATCCCGTAGTTAGTTTTGTAACCACAGTGGTTTTATTGCTGATCTAGTAGTTATATAACTGCCGAAACAACATTAATATTTGTATATAGGTACGCTTTGCAAGACGACAGTCTCCACTGTGAGTCCCGGCCCGAACCCAAACAGAACTCCCCACTCGAGACCTTCGCCGGTGGTGCTCATTCCCTCTTGCAACGACCTTTTCCTCATCTCGTCTAGTATAAAAAACACGCACGCACTCGACATATTCCCATACTCGCTCAGCACATGCCATGTAGTCCTAAGCTTCTCTTTCTCCAGCTTAACTCTCGCTTCGATCGCCTTGAGAATGGCGGCGCCACCAGGATGCGGCGCCCAAAATATCGAGTTCCAGTCGCTTATCCCGAATGGCCTAAACGCATCATCCAGACATGTCCCAATGTTGTCGCCGATCAGTTGGGGAACTTTCGGCGACAGATAAAATGTCATGCCAACTTCTCGTATATGTCCCTCAATTGTGCCTTCCGACTCGGGAAGAATAGTTTGCGACGATGAAACAAGGCGAAATAATGGCTTTTCAACAGATGACAAACCATTAGTGCCGGCGTGATCGGCACCGATAATGACGGCCGCCGCACCGTCTGCGAAGATTGCTTGGCCCACGAGGTTTGCCATATCTTCCTCGCATGGCCCACGAAAGGTGGTGATTGTGATTTCAGAGCACACGACAAGAACCCGAGCACCGGGGTTATTCTCGGCGAGGTCCTTGGCAATGCGGAGGATGGTGCCTCCGGCGAAGCAGCCTTGGTGATAGAGCATTACTCTCTTGACGGACGGTTTTAGGCCGAGGGACTTGATCAGCTGGTAATCGGCGCCGGGCATTTCAACGCCGGATGTTGAATTGAAGACGAGGTGGGTGATGTTAGATTTTGGTTGGCCCCACTCTTTGATCGCAGCCGATGCTGCTTTTTCAGCGAGCTTTGGCATCTCCACTATTTTCATGTCTAGACGTGCGTCCAGAGATGAGGCATTGTAGACACCAAAATTTGGATTTTCTTTGAGGATTTCTTCTGTCAGGTGCATGTATCGCTTCTTTATCATTGATTTCTCGCCTGCATGCATATTAACATATATTTAATATGATGATATCTATGTTAGATATATATAATATCATGAACGTAGGTGTGTGTGTGTCTATATATATATATATATATATATATATATGTTTTTGGTCTAATAAATTTGCATGCATGTCACTAGTGAAAACCAGTATAATTAATATTATTTAATTATTGTGATGGCTAAGTGTATTATTCCATAGAGTATCTAAGCTGGGATATAAAATCGATCTTAGTTATTGTAAAGTCGCGAATAAAAAATGAGAATAAAGAAAAACAAACTTCATACCCAAGTAATTAACGTCGATATTGAGATCGATCCACTACACACAATACGGATGATAGATAGATAGTACATGCAATGTCTTATATATATATATGTTTGTAGTTGGTAAGTTTTTACTTACAAATGCGTTTGAATTTCTCTTTCAATGTCATCTTTTGTTCAGAATTAGTGACTCTAAAATAATAATCAGGATAATCAGCTTGGTAGATGCAGTTGGATGGATTGGCTGTGGCAATGGAAAAAATTGATGCTAGACCTTGATCAGCTTGTCCATTCACCGCTTGAGTTTCCGCCATAGTTGCCATTGACGATAATGCTTTCTATAAAATGTTATAATATAGCTTAATAATTATGCATCACAAGATGAAAGAAGAATGTATATGCATCACAAGATGGATACTTCTCTTGTCATTGGCCTTGGGTTTTATAGACGAATGCGAGAAGAAGAGTGACAAGCACCGAGACATTTTATAAGGATAGTAAATTTGGACTCGTAATAATACATATTATACTACTTGTTAATTTACCAAATCGACCTATCGTATCTTTATTGCATTAAATATACTTTACTACATGGAAAAAAATTATTGAAATAATCTGCATCACATGATGCCCTGCCTACCTAGCTACTATATATTTGCATAACTTTCACATGATACCCTGCCTACCTACTGTATATTTGCAGATTTTTTTATTCTATTAATTAAGACACTCTGGCAATAATAATTTTAATATAATTAAATCTAGATATCATTGTTTTTTTCATATATAGATCTGTATTAATTATTCTATATCTAGATTTTGACTGTGGCAGAACATTTTAGTATAATTAGTTCATATTGGACTTTGGATCAAGCAAGAACCCTAAAACACGAAATACGTACGTAATAATTTCCCTAAAAATCGATAGAAACTGTGCGAGATGTGGGAATTGAGCTCCTATAATATTTTGTTCGAATTAAAATGCTTCTGATTCCAGAAGGATTTGTTCTTCTTGCATAGTGCGTACACGTTCCAATTTTAAGATTTGAGTTCTTATCTTTTTAGGTGAGATTTCAATGAGATTCATAGTCAAATTTATCTCATGACTTAAACTGAAAAGAAAATCCATGAATAGTCTCTCTGTTAAAATTTAATAAAATCATCAAATTAGACTAATAAAAAATCCCCAATTTTTTTTTTCTTTCTGGAGATATAAAGTCCGTACACTGGAAGTTAAATCATATTTATAAGTCCCTAAACTGAAAAATTGTCAAAATTAGAATCAAGATTGAGGTCGGAGGTGGGACGAGTTTAGGATCGTGGCCAATGAGGCTAGTACCGAGGGCTATTAAGAAAACGTTTTACAACAAAGCTACAGATATTTGACGTATTCTTCTACTCATTTATTCACATAAATACTAATTTTGTCACATTTTATTTATTAGTATTTAGGGACAAAATTTAATAAAGCATAACATTTTTTGTTTATTTAATATTGGAACTAATTTTAGAACCATTTTTTTGTTTGGAGACTAAATTTAGTATAATTTTTGACACAATGACTATTTCTAGAGAAAGAAAATAGTTCTGTAATACCCGACATTTTCAGCTTTTAGCTTAGCAATATTTATGTTTTACTTAATTTCAAGTGCGATGTATATTTATTAATGTGATTGGCATAGAATAGAAGACCATAGAAGTATGAGATAGAGAGATTCATTAAACCAGTTTAAGGTAAGCATGTGGTGGCATAAGTAGATAAATATCACCTAATATGACTCACGGATAGATAACAAATTAAGAAAATGAATTAAATTGGCCATGCTATATAGACTTGTGAATAAGCTTGTTGATCTTTGAGGTGCCACTTGTAATATTTAAGGCTTGAAGCTAAGGACTATGGTTTGGTGTGTAATCTCGTAATACTAGCCGCCTAACTTATTATAAAGCTTTAGTGCCCAAGTTTATAACGTTATATAAGTGGGTTTACAGCTAATTTCTAAGAGCACAGAAATGAAATTAAAAAAAAAGGAAATAAATAAGATAGTGAGAGAAATAGTATTCTTACCACTGCATCGAACACTATTATAATTAATTATAATTATAATTATAATTATAGCCGTCTAAGTTTTATAAAGCTTTATTTTCCAAGTTTATAATATTATATAAGCGGGTTTACAGCTAATTTCTAAGAGCACAAAAAAGAAATAAAATAAAATAAAATAAATAAGATAATGAGAGAAATAAGAGGGAAAATTAATAGAAAAAGATGGTTTTTAATCTCTACTAGTTAATTTATAAGTATTCCCACCACTGCATTGCATTACTTGAATAATATTATGTTTTTAAATAGAGGTTTTAGTCCATATATGTTATTATTGACATGTTTTAATGTGATTTTGAAAATATTTGCTGGATCTGATGTGAAATTTTGTGCTTATTATGAACCAATTGATATATGATAATGGTTAAATCCTTAAGGAATAAGAGATTCTAAAACAGGAGATACATGAAAGAGGTTATGATAACATAAGACTAACATTATATAAGAGGACCCTAAAATTGAAAGTAAAAGAGATTTATTTTGAAAGTGGAAATTATTGAATGGTTTACTTACTGAGTTATTGTTCATATAATTTTCATGATGCAAACAAGCTTTATAATTTAAGTTTCTATTGACTGAACAAGAATGGTCTAAAAATTTCATGATAGGTCTAGGAATATTAAGATTCGAGATTCATAATCTTAAGAATTTGTATGAGTTGTTTTTGTAATAGACATTTTATATTAGTATTAATTTTTTTGAGTTGTTTTTGTAATAGACATTTTATATTAGTATTAATTTTTTTGAGTTGTTTTTGTAATAGACATTTTATATTAGTATTAATTTTTTTTTGTTGCCGGCATTTTCAACTGCTAACTCTGGAAGGGCTTACAAGTTCATAGAATTTTTATGAGTCCAATTTAATGATTTTCATCTAGAATTTAGTACAGAACTATTCCTGAGACGTTTTGAATTCAAAAACCATTCATCAAACCAAATTAGCTATAAGGGTTCATTTTAAATAGAGAAAAGATGGAATTTGGGCATAAATTCAAAATTTGAAGATATAAATATCAAGAATTCAAGATATATGGTATGATTTTATAACCTTAAAATAGAAAGTATAAAAATTTAAAACAAAAATCTTTGAAATAGGTAACGTCTATATAGATAAATATATATATTAGGATGAGTTTTCAATAGTTACGTCTCCATCGATGGCCACCTGTTAATTATAATAATTTAATGACGTGATGTGATAAGAATTTAATTTCATTAATTATAATAAATTTTTTTAGTCATCTACATAATTTATTACAACCATAAGATCAATATCTTACGGTTAAAATAATGATACTTTTTGAATTGATAAATATTAGAGTAACCATTAAAACCACACTCATTATCTTCTTCATGTGTGTATATATATATATATATATATAAAGAAAAATGAGACAAATATCCTCTTAAATTGTATGAGTCTAAATTTTTAACTCTCATTTTTTATTAATACCCTTGTAATAAAATATTATATTAATTAAAAAGATATTTATCAAAAATAATAGGTAAAAAACTAAACTTATATATTTTTAAAAGTAGATTCGCCTCGTTCGTTTCGATGATTCGAGTTTAAAATTCGAGTTGAGATGTAATTTTATGTGAGAGCTTTTTACTGTAGTAAAAAAGTTAGATGTGACTGTTTGTGAGAGTTTTTTACTGTAACAAAACTTAAATTCTAAACTCGAATCAGCGAAACGAACGAAATATTTTCTCTTAAAAAATATGATTGGTTGATTTCCTGTGTGACAATATCATCACTGCTCAAAAAAATAAAAAAATAGGGATTCGGTATCAATTACGGAGTGTTTTGTTGACCACATAATACACATTGCTCGAAGTGGTCAAACTAAATAGCCAGCTCAGCATGTTTAGACAGCTGAACTTAAGTGCAGCAGATACAAATTTGTTGGAGTTTGGTAGAACAACTCAACGGTTGTAGGATTAGTTACAGATCTAGATTTTCATGGATTATTAGTTACATAATTGCTCTAATAATTATCAAATATAAACGTAAGTTGTTGCGCTCATATGACTAATCATTGAGAGCTTCATAATTTTTTCTCTAATAGTCTATATGTATTTTTTTCTCTTATTTTCTATCTTGCAAAACACTGAGTTTCATTTTGATATCAGAGCGGTAAGATCAAACGAGCGGCTCAATCTATAAGATTGATGACTCTAAAGAGAATATCATCTTGTGAAAATCTGTAAAGAATAAAATAAATCTAAGTCATCCATCATTTAAATATGATAATAAATGATAATTTATAACGATATTGAATCACTCCACTTATTTAATTAACCTTTAAAGATGAAAAGAAAAATAGAAATAGCGTGGGAAAAACTTTTTAAAAGAAACTAAAAAGAAAAGAAATATCTCATAGGACTTGTCATTTTTAACGGTAGATTAAGATTTCAATAGTTACATCTGAAGAGTCAATATTAAAAATTTACAGTACGACATAACTGTTATATCATATCACAGATCAAACCATTAAAAACATAATTTAACAGATAAAATGTAATATCTAGATCTACCGATAAATAAAAAGGGGAGGTCCTATTAGAAAATTTTCTAAGAAGAAATAACATTACTTACAGTGTGGGGGTTATTAATACACTGTGATGAGGATCACAAATTTCGTGCACGCTTATGTGATGAGGATCACAAATTCGTGCACGCTTAGTTTAACCTCATTTGATTGTATGGTCAAAACAAATTCTACAAGGTCTACCAATAGGATACAATTATCGTGCCTACAACATATAGCAATACCATATTAATATATATATATATATATATATACACTTTTTCTACAATTCTCAAGGTGAATATGAAAAACGTAACACAATAGTTATTAAATGTAACATTAACGTTAAAGATATGTAGTATAGTCATTGAATGGCTAAATTCATTAATGTTACACCTCTTAATTAATATATATTACTTTACATTACGTTTTCATACCTATACATACCTACACATTAAGTTGAAGGAATCTCTATCACTAAAGAGACCGTAAAAAAAACCATATATATATATATATATAAATATAAATTATTTTTAACTTCAATTATTGAACAGGAAAACTTTTGTCTTCTTATATTTTTCAATTCCGCAGCCATCAAAGCCCCTTTATTTTTATTTTTTTTACCACGACCCAAGGTCACAAAACACTTAAGAATTTATAATGTTCTTTTTCATCAATATCAGAGCCAAGGCCATATAAAAGAGAGCTCAATTAGCAATGTCAACAAATTGCATATCCACTAAACATTATCATATACTTAGGAAGAAGGAATATTAGCAAATATCAATGGGTTCTTTGCCGGAAGTAACAAACAAGCCTCACGCCGTGTGTATCCCACACCCAACACAAGGCCACATAAACCCAATGCTTAATCTGGCCAAATTGCTTCACCGCAGAGGCTTCCACATAACCTTCGTCAACACCGAGTTCAACCATAAACGAATGCTCAATTCTAGAAGATGCAAATCCCTCGACATCTCGCCGGACTTCCGTTTCGAAGCTATACCGGACGGTCTTCCTCCTCCTCCGGCCGGCGATGATGATGATGCCGTTCAACATGTACCAGAACTCTGTGAATCAATCGGAAACAAGTGCTTGTTAGAGCCGCTTCGCAAGCTTCTCGCCATGCTCAACGAGGGCAGATCATCTAATGGCTTTAGTACTGTTATTCCACCGGTAAGCTGTATTGTTTCAGATGGTATTATGACATTCACTATTGAAGCTGCAGAAGAGCTGGGAATACCGGTTGCGCTCTTTTGGACTGCCAGTGCCTGCGGCTTCATAGCCTATAAACAATATTGGGATCTTGTTGAAAAAGGTCTTATACCCCTCAAAGGTATAAAATTATTTAATATACAGGCTACATATTTTTTATTTTGTAAGTATCTTTCTTTCCATGCATGTATTAACTACACTTATTAGTCCAATTTTAGGATGCGCTTTTTCTTGCATTTGCCAAGCCGTGATATATTTGGTAGTGTCATTTGGTTCTTTGTTTCTCTAGACTAAACACCCGCAAAAAACCACTGCATTCAATTTTGGTAACAGATAAGTTGAACTTTTTATGATACCATAACAAAAACTGGACTTTCTAAAACTGATGACTCAATCATAGAAAGGTAATTGTGAAGTGGAGTAAACAGACACCTTAATAAGTATATGATTATTTTTATATTTAAATGATTTGGAGCTCGGTAAATTGGTATATTTTTAGTTTTTGCACTTCATATTTGGATGTGTCAAATGATTTATGTGTTAAGTCAATCTTGTGCTGTTTTTGCTACTTGTTCTGTTTTGGATCTTGCTATTTGTTCTGTTTTTGTTTGTTAGTTTTTTATTTTTTATTTTTTATTTTTGTATGTTATGCAGATGAAAGCTACTTAAGAAATGGATATTTAGACAACCCTATTATAGACTGGATTCCTGGAATAAAAGAAATTCGTCTGAGAGATAGTCCAAGCTTTTACTTAAATAGTAGCACAAATGCAAATGAGCACACAATGATGAAATTCTTCACAGCGGAGATAGAGGCAACTTCTAGAGCTTCCGCCATAATCATAAACACTTTCGACGCGCTGGAGGACAAAGTGTTGGAAGCTCTGAAGGTGTTATCACCTCCACTTTACACGGTGGGGCCCATCCACGAGCATTGGAAAATGGCTCAACAAAACATGAAGAGTGGTTTGTCTTCCGTCGGATTCAATCTCTGGAAAGAACAAGATGAATGCCTCCAATGGCTGAATTCGAAGCAACCCAGGTCTGTGCTTTACGTCAACTTCGGCAGTGTCGCCTTCATGACCTCAAATTGCTTTCAGGAATTCGCTTGGGGTTTGGCCAACAGCGGGAAACCTTTCATCTGGATAGTTAGGCCCGATCTCGTCGTCGACGGTGATTCGGCACTCCTTCTGTCGCAGGAGTTTCTGGAAGAGACGAGAGGGAGAGGTTTCGTGGTGACATGGTGCCCGCAAGAGCAGGTCTTGAGCCACCCGTCGGTCGGTGGGTTCTTGACGCATTGCGGTTGGAACTCCACCCTCGAGGCCTTGAGCGCGGGTGTGCCCATGATTTGTCGGCCGTTCCTGTCGGAGCAGCCGACCAATTGTAGGTTCTTGTGCACCGAATGGGGCGTCGGTTTCGAGATCGAGGGGGGAGACGTTAAAAGAGATCAAGTGGAAAAGGTTGTAAAGGAGTTGATGGAAGGAGAGAGAGGTGAGGAGATGAGAAAGAAGGCCGTTGAGTGGAAGAGAGAGGCTGAGGAGGCCATTGCTCCTGGTGGTTCTTCATGGCTAAATTTTGATAAGATGGTCAAGGAGGTTTTGACGGTATCGTCGTCAAAGCCTTAGATTACTGAACAAATAATGTTAGGGGCACGTCCAAGCCCAGATAAGATCTTTTTTATTATTGAGAGAATTACCGAAATTTATCTGTAAGAATGTACTAATCTAAATTTTTATCTTTTATTTTTAATTAAAAAGTAATAATCAGAATATAAGAGAAAAAATCAAGACCCTAAGTAGTTATTTATCTCTTTTTTTTTTTTTTTTTTTTTTTTTTTTTTTTTTAGTTGTGGTAGTGAGAATCAGTTGTATCCTTAAACATTTTTCCTACCTCAATGCTATATTTCACGTCATATATATACTTCTTTTCTTTTTTTTTTTTTTTTTTTTTTTTTTTTTTTTTTTAAGTTTAATGGGCAAGTTGCAAAGTGGGCTGTGCGTTGGGAAAGGAGAGTAGGTGTAAGTTTGAAAATAACTTGTTTTTTTTGTTTTTTTTTATTATAATAATAATTAGCTTGGTAGGGGTGCCGAGTTTGTCTTCTTCTTTCTTGGTCTCGAATGTTTCTGTTTATTCCTTTGTTAATGAATGTAGGTCGATTTGATTATAAGGATTCTTCTTATAATTTTATTGTTGTTTATTTTTCGAGATATATATTTATATGTTTGCTTCCAAAGTTTTTGTTTTTTTGGTTTTCCTGAAAGCTGCCAATTTTAAATTATTCAGACGTTTGTTAGTTCCACCAAACTATTTGGCAGAAAGGTATGACGCTTATGTTATTATAGGTACAAGTTACACCGTAAAAGCAAAAAACCGCTATATGTTACAAAGTCTCCTTAAATTTTTGGCCATTTTACACTTTTGGCCCTCCTTATAAGTCTTATTATTATAAGACATATAATATAACACCGAATAGAAACACAGCTAATATAAAAGCGAAACACGATATATGTAGTTCCAAAACCATAGTTGAATTATAATGAGTGAGTATTTTACTTACAAATTAAGTACTTTTAAATTTGAGTATTTGTAAGCATTTTTGTTAATTTAATTTATTTTTGCAAGTTAAAGTTAAAATGAAATAAAATGAGCAAAAATTTGACTTTAGAACATAGTTTAACATTTGAGGCGTAACTCTTTCATCTGAAGTCTAAATGAGGTGATCTTAATGGTGTTAGAAAGATAAGAGATAGAGCTACAATTTTTATGAAGATACTAAAGACTAATTCGGCCATATAGAATGTGAAAATCCTTCTCGAAATTAGACATCCGCTGCCGTGGGAAATCCATCCGCTACAGCGAATTTCTTGCCTGAGAGCAAGAAAACTACACATCCGCTGCAGCAGGAAATTCATCCACTACAATGGGTGAGCCTATGCTACTAGCGTTTTTCAGAAATCTTAAGCGGCACTGCAGCGAGAAAATAATTCGCTGCAGTACCTGCACGTATACTGCAGTCATTTTAAGGCCTCTTTTGTACTGATTTTGAGGAGGTATAAATAAGAAATGTGTTGAGAATCAAAGTGGCTCTTTCGAAACCCAAAAACGCAGAACCCTAAAGAGGAAAATACAAGGATTCGAGGGCTTGCTCGAAGATATGAAGAAATATTGAAGATTGCGGAACTCAATTGACATCTAGTTCTTCACACACTCTCTTCCTCTATTTTAGCTTTGAGTTTGTGTTATTCTCTGATATATATGATTAATTATAGATTTGGGTTTTGGTTTGTTTATGTGTTTTAATTTGGGATTCTTGATGTATTATTCTAGCTAAACTCTTAGAGCTAGGGGCTTAATGTATTTTAACGTTGCTAAGCTTTGAATATTCTAAGTGCTTGTTAATGAGATTTTTCACTTTAATTCATTTGTGTTTCTCTATGTTAATTGTTCTAATTTGTGGGTTCATGAATTAGAGATATAGATGTGTAGATTTAGACTTGAGAGAGTTACTTTCACATGTTGGGATTTAGAAAACGCAACCTAGAGTTAATTGAGTTTGAGAGGCCAATTAACTCGGTAGTCAAGATTAAGTTTGCTTAATGGATGCTTAAGGATATTGCTTAATTAGTTTTGCATACTATTTTACTTGGCACTCAGGAAAAAGAGTGAAATTATTTTTGAAAACCTAAACTAATGAGAGTGAAATAAATTGACGAGCGTAAGAATTGGATATCAACATAACTTAGTAAAGAGAGAACAAAACCCCTAATCACTTCATTATCATCAGAGTTTCCTTCGATCTTCATTTTGAAATTGTACTTTTATTATTTACTTATTTATTTTAGTTATTATTTTTATTACTTTTCTTTATTCGTTACTTATTTTGATTGTTTAAATAATTTTACAATCAATTAATTTTGATAATTAACAAAAATTAAACACAATTTTAATGAGATTGATACTCCTATTCACATTATATTAGTGTGTGTTTAAAAAGGTGATTCGTGTTATGATTTGAATTATAATTATTGATTCGTTATAAATAATTTTTCTCATAAAAAATACACGTAAAATAAAAATAATTTTAAATTATAATTCTGAATCTATGAATCACACGTTCACTTATTTGAGACAACTCACTTCATTTATTTCATTAATTTAAATTTTCAGTTATATATTTTTATAATAAAAAATTTTTAAAAAATGTCACATCTAATTTTTTTTATTATAATAAAATAATTTTAAAAAATATTATATTTTAATTAAATTAAAAATTTAAATTCGTAAAATGTATCAAATTATTACTTTTGAAAAGCAGGACACACGCATCAAATCAACCATAAAGACTTTCTCGAGAAGATAACCCGTCAATAGTAGTTACCACTCATATATACAATTGAAGACGAGGTGACTGATGTTAACTTTGGTTGGCCCCATTCTTTGATGGCGTTCATTGCTGCTTTTTCACAAGTTTTGACGTCTCAACTTTTTTTGAAGATGTTTAATTGAAAATTTTAAATTATGTGATTTAAATTATTTTTAATTTATGTATATTTTTTATAAAAAAAATATTATAATAAATTATGAATTATGATTTAAATAAAAAAATAAATCATTCTACAACATTCTAGACGTGCATCATAGATGAGGCAACTTAACATTTATTATAATTATGATATGACATCAATACTTATTAATATCTTATCATCATCTATTTTGATGATACACATTCAAAAAATTTATTATTATAATTATGATGTGATATCAATACTTATTAATATTGTATCATGATCCATTTCAATGATATATATTTAAAAATATGATTTTAGAGAAAATTAAAAAGCAAAGGTACGTAAGTAAAAAAGTAAGAAAAAGCAAAAAAGAAAAAATAAAGCAAGCAATGACAGAGTAAGGAAAAAAAAAAAAAACGACAAAACACGTCGTTTTCAAGTTTCAACAGCGCAACAAAAAGAAACTCACATATGTAGTAGAACGACACTAGCATAATATAATAAATATGTATCATTCACATGTGTGTATTTCACATAACAATAAAAACAGTACTATTTTGGTCCATGCATGTCGCTTAAAATCAGAATCAATATTAATTGCGAAAGCTAAGGGCCTAAAATTAAAGCTAGGCCTTGATCAGCTAGTCCGTTCACTTCTTTATTTCACATGACAATAGTGCTTTCTACAAAATGTTATAATATAGCTAATAACAATTATTGACTTTTTTTCTTTTTTTAAAAAAAAAATGCAGCACAAGATGGATACTTCTTTTGTCATTGCCATGGGGTTTTATAGACGAATGCGTGAGGTGAGAACTGAGAAGTGTGGGGACTCTTAAATCCTATTCATTTTATCGATTTTAAGTTTAAAATTTAAGTTTAGTTATAGTAAAATATTTTTAAAAATAATCACATTAATTTTTTTTATTATAATAAATTTTTTTTATATAAAATCATATGTCAATTTAAATTAACAAGTGAGTCCTTAAAAATACATATTAATCTGTTGTATCATCGCCATATTATATATACTTTATTATGAAAAAAAAAAGTCATTAAAGTAATCTGCATCAATGATGCCGTGCCTTACCTACTTTATATTTGCAGATTTTTTTATTCTATTAGATAAGAAACTCTGGATCTAGATCTATATTAAATTATTCTATATCTATATTTTGAGTGTGGCATAACATTTTAATATAATTAGTTCATATTGGGAAGGAACCTGTCAGAGATGGATACAACTTGGAATTGGATCAATCAAGACTCTATTTATTTCACCGATTTAAATTTTATTATAGTAAAAAGTTTTAAAAAATAATTAAATTTAGCTTTTTTATTACAGTAAAATGTTCTCATATAAAATCACATTTTAATTTAAATTAAAAACTTACATTAATAAACTAAACGGGCCTAAAAATCCTAACTGAGATCACTTGTCCAAAAAATCCTGTCCCAAACCATGTCAACCCAATAGGAAAACGCCATGTCGTTAACGATTTAACAGGTTAACTCCGTTAATTAACTTCTCCTTTTCGACTTTCTTTTTTTTTATTTGTTTTAAAGTAAAATTCAGACCATAGTGGTCTCTTCTCTAAGGATGGGAACCAAACGTCATTTTTCATTTTAGTGTATTTTTAGTAACAAGATTCGTACTCTATTCAAATTATGATTTATAATTTATTATAATATATTTTTTTTAAAATATATATATAAATTAAAAATAATTTTAATCTCATTTTTAATTCACGAATCAAACGCATTAGAGCTGGCAAATTTTTCGATCTGTCTTTATGGTTCAAAATGGTAGAAACTCGCTCCAGTTTACCATCAAAGACCATCATAAATCCTACGTCTGAAAAGGCATTAATTCATGAATCAATTTTTTTTTTTTTCTAAAAAAAACTCTTCCGTTCCCAATTCGTCGCCTTCCCCACCTTCTCCGATAGTTTTAGCTTCCATCTCGGTGACCGATCTATTCTGCGACGATCTTACCAATAAGAGAGAAGAAAGTCAGAAAGAAGACGAGAAGACAATTAACAGAGTTAGCCCACATAAATATTGTTAAACTCATTAATGACATGGCATTTTCTTATTGGGTGGACGTGGTTTGGGATAGGATTTTTTGGACAGGTGATCTCAATCCGAAATATGTTAATAATTTCCCTAAAAATTATTAGAAGAGCGCTGCTATTTAACCCGAGCGGGCTATTCTCAGGTCCGTTTGGTTCGTTAATTTAAATTTTTAATTTAAATTGAAATGTGATATTATGTGAGAGTTTTTTATTGTAATAAAAAAGTTAAATGTGACTATTTTTAAAAATTTTTTACTATAATAAAACTCGAATTCTAAACTCAAATCAGTAAAAATAACGGGACCCTCATGATTCATGGTAGAGGATTGATTAGTACACACATCAATACAGCCAAATCATTTAAATTTTTTTTAAATAAAGTTAGTTTGTGGGCCCCGCCAATCTCTCTCTTTTACTATTAGCTGAAAGTACGTGATGCATCTGCCGTGGAAGTACGTGATACCTCTCTGCCGTGTTTGAAATTATTCTTATTTTTATTTTTTACATTTTAAAAAAAAAGAATTAAAATTTTAGTAGAGAGAGACATTAATAAATTTTTTATACTAAAAATAATCTTTTAATAAAATTATTACACACATTTTTAAAAATAATTTTTATTTAAAATTAAAAATATTTTTATTTTTATTTTTATATAAAAAACAAAATTTTGAAACGAATTATAAAGGCACCTCTCATTTCTCTTTCTTTTTTCCCCCATCAAACTCTGATACCACCTTTACTTTTCTCATTTCTCAATTTTTTGTCTGGTAGGAAAAAAAAGATAGACGTAGAAAGTAGAAAAAAAAACCGTTAATAAAAAAAGATTGACATAGAAAGTAGAAAGAGTTTACCTCGTAGACTTTTGATAATTTTTTTATTTTTTAACCGTTAAATTTATATTATAATTTATTTATTTCATATATATTTTTAATGTGATATACTTTTAATTAGATTTAACGGTTAAAAATTAAAATTATTGATAAGATGGAATACCAAAAAAATTCAAAAAAAAAAGATTTTGGTATATTTTTTTTAAATATATATATTTTTATTTTATGATGGGACAAATTAACAACTAATTGTATAGAGAAAAAAAAATAATTGAGAGACTACTCATAAACTTATACCTATTAACTTAAATATAAATCGTTCGATGTTCATAATAGGAAGGAACACTCTCTCTCTTCGAATGTACTACTAAAGTATGCGGAAATTTCCAGCCAATATTTCACGTAGCATATACACACTAATAACTAACATTGATTCAAAACAAATATAAATCATTTGATTAGAATTATTTTTAATTTACGTGTATTTTTTATAAGAAAAAATACTGTAATAAATCATGAATCATAATTCAAATCATGATTCATAATTTAAATCATGATTATTGAACAAGAAAGTCTGAACAACAGTTTTGTTAAAAAAGATTCTAAATGACGTAAATGCACCTGCCTTCCATGCATTGCCCATCTTCTAGAATTTGTCAATTTCCAGGATCGCCGCAATCATTTTTTATTTTTGTTAACACCAATGACAATGAAACGAAATTTGTTATGGTCTTTGACCATCCGAGTACTCCAGTCCATACAAGGCACTTGACTTTGATGTTAGTATGACAGAATTGAGGAGCGAGCTAGAGGACATTAGCAAAAGAGCAATGGAATCTTCTCCAAAAGCAACAAACAAGCCTCACCGTTAAAAATTAAAATTATTTATTTATTTTATATATATTTTTAATGTGATATGATTTTAATTAGATTTAACGGTTAAAAATTAAAATTATTGATAAGATGGATTATCAAAAAAATTCAAAAAAAAAAAAAGATTTTGGTATATTTTTTTCATTTTATGATGGGACAAATTAACAACTAATTGTATAGAAAAAAAAAAAAAGAATTGAGAGACTACTAATAAACTTATACCTATTAACTTAAATATAAATCGTTCGATGTTCATAATAGGAAGGAACACTCTCTCTCTCTTCGAATGTACTACTAAAGTATACGGAAATTTCCAACCAATATTTCACGTAGCACATACACTAATAACTAACATTGATTCAAAACAAATATTAAACTTCAATTATTGAACAAGAAAGTCAATGACGTAAATGCACCTGCCTTCCATGCATTGCCCATCTTCTGTAGAATTTGTCAATTCCCAGGATCGCCGCCATCATTTTGTATTTTTGTTAACACCAATGAGAAACGAAATTTGTTATGGTCTTTGACCATCCGAGTACTCCCGTCCATAGTCCAAGGAGTTCAATTATTGGATACAAAAAGGCACTTGACTTTTTGATGTTAGTACGACAGAATTGAGGAGCGAGCTAGAGGAAATTAGGAAAAGAGCAATGGAATCTTCTCCAAAAGCAACAAACAGGCCTCACGCCGTGTGTATCCCACACCCAACACAAGGCCACATAAACCCAATGCTTAATCTGGCCAAATTGCTTCACCACAGAGGCTTCCACATAACCTTCGTCAACACCGAGTTCAACCATAAACGAATGCTCAATTCTAGAAGATGCAAATCCCTCGACATCTCGCCGGACTTCCGTTTCGAAGCTATACCGGACGGTCTTCCTCCTCCTCCGACCGGCGATGATGATGATGCCGTTCAACATGTTCCAGACCTCTGTGAATCAATCGGAAACAAGTGCTTGTTAGACCCGTTTCGCAACCTTCTTGCCAGGCTCAACGAGGGCAGATCGTCTAATGGCTTCAGTACTGTTAATCCACCGGTAAGCTGTATTGTTTCAGATGGTATTATGACATTCACTATTGAAGCTGCAGAAGAGCTGGGAATACCGGTTGCGCTCTTTTGGACTGCCAGTGCCTGTGGCTTCATGGCCTATAAACAATATTGGGATCTTGTTGATAAAGGTCTTATACCACTCAGAGGTATAAAATTAAATATACAAAAAACACATGCTTTGATTTTGCGAGTGTTTTTTTTTTTTTTTCGACTTACACTTATTAGTCGAATTTAGGAGGTGCTTTTTATTGTATTTTCCAAGCTGTGATATATTTGGTATGTTACTAGTCGAATTTAGGAGGCGCTTTTTATTGTATCACCGCATTCAACTTTGGTAACAGAAATTGGACTTTCTTAGCCGAGGCTCGCGTATATTTTTATTCATGTCATTGTAAGATTGCGCTCTCTTTACGGTCATTAATTCTATATTGCTAATACCAATATAGAATTGGACTTTAAGATTTGAGACTCCATTCTAAGAGGTCAAACTGTTAGGTAAATTGGCTCAATAGTCTTATAAGTTTATTGATTATTTTTATATTCAAATGATATGTCAAAGTTTAATCTTGTAGTATTTTTACCCTTTTACATTTGGATGTGTCAAATGATTTATGTGTTGGTCAATCGTGTGCTGTTTTTGCTACTTCTTGTGTTTTGTGTCTTGTGCTATTTGTTCTGTTCTCTGTTTTGCATTTTGTTCTGTTTTTTTTTTTGTTAGTTCTTTTGCATCTTGTGCAGATGAAAGCTACTTAAGAAATGGATATTTAGACAACACTATTATAGACTGGATTCCTGGAATCGAAGAGATTAGACTGAGAGATATTCCAAGCTTCTACGTAAATAGTAGCACAAATGCAAATGAGTACACAATGATGAAATTTATCACAGCGGAGATAGAGGCAACTTCTAGAGCTTCCGCCATAATCATAAACACTTTCGACACGCTGGAGGACAAAGTGTTGGAAGCTATGAAGGTGTTATCACCTCCCCTTTACACGGTGGGGCCCATTCATGAGCTTGTGAAAATGGCTCCAACGACTCCTATCGGATCCAATCTCTGGAAAGAACAAGTGGAATGCCTCCAATGGCTCAACTCCAAGCAACCCAGATCGGTGCTTTATGTCAACTTCGGAAGCATCATCTTCATGACCTCAAGTTCCTTTCAGGAATTCGCTTGGGGTTTGGCCAACAGCGGGAAACCCTTCATCTGGATAGTTAGGACTGATCTCATTGTCGATAGTGATTCAGCAGTTGTTCTGTCGCCGGAGTTTCTAGAAGAGACGAGAGGGAGAGGTTTCGTGGCGAGTTGGTGCCCGCAGGAGCAGGTCTTGAGCCACCCGTCTGTCGGGGGGTTCTTGACGCATTGCGGTTGGAACTCCACCCTCGAGGCCTTGAGTGCTGGCGTGCCCATGATTTGTCGGCCGTTCCTGTCGGAGCAGCCGACCAATTGTAGGTTTTTGTGCACCAAATGGGGCGTCGGTTTCGAGATCGAGGGAGGAGACGTTAAAAGAGATCAAGTGGAAAAGGTTGTAAGGGAGTTGATGGATGGAGAGAAAGGCGAGGAGATGAGAAGGAAGGCCGTTGAGTGGAAGAGAAAGGCTGAGGAGGCCACTGCGCCTGGTGGTTCTTCATGGCTAAATTTTGACAAGATGGTCAAGGAGGTACTTACGGCAGCATCATCAATGTAAGCCCTAAGATTATTGGACGAATAAGTCTAAGAGCACCAATAGAAAGTGGACCAATGCTATGAGACTATTTGATAAGACTCGATTTCTATTAGTTGCGGTGCTTAGTATAAGTTTTGTTACTCCACGGTTGTATTTTACATTATATTTACGTGATTTTCGACCAACAAAGGAAATACATGATTTCTGTTTTATTGTTGAAGATCCCATTCTTCCGCTGAATCCCCGTCCATCTTGCAGCTTCTGTTGGGTTTTTGTGAGTTGAATGGCCATGTTGTGAACTGGGCTTATGTGATGGGGAAGGGTTGAGATTGGATGTAGGTGGAAGTTTCAAATAATTTGTTTTTTCTGCAGAAAAACGTTTTCTTCTTTTCTTTTCTCTCTCTGTTTTTTTTTTTTTTTTTTTAAGTTGCTGAATTTAAATTATTTGTATATGATATAAATTTATCTCCTTAATCAAACAATAAGCACACCTGTGAACGAGTTACGGACCAAATGGCCTGATGCAGGCCGAGGGGGTTGTGCGTTTCGAGCCTTGCCACACATAAAAAGGGACAGTGGCGAAAACTATTTCCTGTTCTGCAGTTTTCTGCGTAGTTCCAAATTTTCTACAATGAAACTCAGATCCACACAACAGTTTTATATGTACCATCAATCAAACTCAATTTAAAACAAAGATCAACACCAAATTTCTAAACTTAGAGGTCTCAAATCCAGGGAAATTGAACAACTTTCAGATAACTGGATGCAATTCAAGTCTTATGAACTCAGATGCTTGAGATTTAATTCATAAAAAAAATTTTATTTGCGTTACTGTTTTATACATGTTTTTTAACAATGTCGTTTTTTTCAAGATTCTTTTCCCTTTAAACGTATTGTTTGCCTACGCCATATCATTTTTATAAGATGTCTTTCCGATTACGATACTAGGATATCATTTTTGAGCTGTTGGTATTCTGTTAGTAGTTTTATGATTTTTTCGTTTCTTTAGGATGTCGTTTTCTACACGACTTTTGTTTACCGATGTTTCTTTGAGTTGTCGTTTTTCTTCATGCTCCTGTTTTCTTTAAAACATCGTTTCCAAGGATTCTCTCGCTCTATTTACGTTTCCAATGAATTTGGCTTTATATGATGACGTTCTTGTAAATGCCATTCTGTATGCTACGTCGTTTTTAAGATTCCAGTCAATAAAGACACGATGTCGTTTCTGCTTGATGCTTTCTTTATACGACATGCCGTGTCCTGTGAGATGTTGATTTATGCATCTTGTCGTTTGAGCACTCTCCTTTAGCATGATTTTGTATATTAACATGTCATGTTAGTTGAACGAGCTTTTAATGGTTACGTTTCTAATAGAAATCTGATAATGTGATAAGAATTCAGTTTCATTAATTGTTATAAATTTTTTTTGATCAACTGTTAATTTATTATAACCATCAAATTAACATCTTATGACTAAAATAATGATACCGATTAATAAGTAAATATTAGAGTAATTATTAAAACTATACCCATGTTAGTTATATGACTTTGTTTCTTGTTTGCTTTGGCCTATGATTGACGGCGTTTTGTACTATTATTATTATTATTATTTGCTAGATTATTATTCTCCTTAGGTTCCGGATTATGTCCCTAGCCTCGTTATACCGTGACATGTCGTCTTTCTAGCATGTCGTTTTTTCTTAGATGTCTCTTTTACTGCGTCGTTTTTGTGCTTATGCTCTACTGCTATTCGATTTGGAATTTTGGAAAGAACATATTCTTTTTGTCTAGTGAGTCCTGTCTACCTCCTATATTTTTAAATATTAAAAAGAGAGAGAGAAAAGGAAATAAGATAGACGGATAGTTTGGATTGAAAATAAAAATTAATAACAGAAATTTTGAGGAAAGATGATAAATAATACTTTTACGTAAACACGAATTTATAAGGTACTGAAAAATGGTATATACCCTCTGTATAAATACCATATTTTCTCATACCCCAACCTTTTCAAGGATAAAGGATAAAAAAGATCTAAAGAAAGGACAAAACTAAAATAAGTAAATATGTTTTAAATTCCCCCAAATGAAACAAAAGAAATGATAGGGTCACCTTTTCTTCTATACGGTACTGCACCTGCTAAGAGATAATTTGAACAGGTTGCTTTCCTTTGCTTTTGAGTGATTTCGTCGAATTAATAATCTTTTAACATAAAAGTTTCGTTAAAGCTTAATTCATCTTGTAGTTGGAATCCAATTTCATCACTTTGCCTTACCAGAAATCCATGGCATGTTTATTTACGCGTAATCAGAATAAGAATGAATCAGAGTGGGTGAGATTCGAAGTGGGTAGAATTCAGAGTGAGGAATCAGAATAAGCTGTTTACTTAGTGATATTATTCAGAATCGGAATCATTTCAAATCTCATTTATACGTTTACTTACACATAAAATCAAAATAAAAAAGTGTAAAAGTACTAATATACCCTTTAAATCAATTTGATATTTTCAATTTAAAAAATATATTGTGTACTTATTATATTAAAATGAATCATAATTAAAATATTTAGTGTAATAATTGGGTACTAAAATAATAAATATAAATTGTACAACTATTTAAAATATAAAAATAAATTTTTAAAAAATTTAAATAAAATAAATAAAAATAAAAAATAGTGTTAAAAATAAAAAATATTATTAATTTATTAAAAAAATAAAGTACATATTTATTATATAAAGTTAACAATAATTATGCTAATATTATAATATTAGGCAAATAAAATAATAAATATATGTTGCATTTATTATTTTTTAAATTTTATTTTTAATTGTGTATTTATAAGTAAAATAAGGGTATGATAGTAATTAATATTAATATTAGGAATGAGAGTCTCAATCCTAAGGGCATGGGAGTGCCAATCTCATTCCTCAATCCCAAATTTAAGTGAGACCTACCAATCTCACTCTCATTCCAGGATAAAAAAGTGCAAGTAAACATGAGATTGACTCTCATTTTCCATTCTCATTCTTCAATCCTGATAAGTAAACATGCCACCAATGTACTAATTAATAAGATCAGATCACAATCCTCCGGAAATGTAGCTTTGTTTTAGCTTGAAAGGGCAACGAAGCATTCATTTCTTTTTATTTCTCTTGTCTTTGCAATCCCACTTCAATTGCCAATTGACGACCCTTTTCTCATTTCTATATGTCACGATGGATTCCATGGGGGATTCCATAGTTTCAAATCATGATTCTTTGTGGCCTCTTGAAAAGTGAGAGTCCATTTGGTGGCATCTTTTTAGTCTTTTTAGTCCTTTCTTTACTACTTTAGCGTCGTTTAAGTGTCCATTAAGTTGTTTTTAAGATTATTATTATTATTATTTTTTTTTTTTTCCAGTTATAATGCATGTGCCTTTTTATGTCACCACTTTCCACCAAAATTTTCGCATCTCCATCGTCGGCCCTTAAACAAGCTGACTCAAAGGTTGATTAGTAGATATATATATATATAAACTTGTTATATTATAACTCTGCTCTTATGTCGTTTTCACTTTTTTGTGGTAATTGGGTAGAGGACCAATTTGTTCAATTCCAAGCACCTTCGAGCCACTAATTGTGTTGTATTGTGCTTTATAATAATATGCTTCTTGAATAATTTTGCTTTGTGAAAGAAGCGGTTCAACTTTGCTACTAAATTATAACATATTGGTGTTTCTGTATCAAATATTCTGCTTTAACGAACTTGTTTGGTCCACTTTTGGTTTTGATGCTACCGAAAGTCTTTTAAGTCAATTTTGGTAATGGAAACTTTATTGGGTCGTTTCCTTGCACTCTATGAGGAGACAGGACTTGTCCATGAAAGCTCAAGTTGTTGAGCCGAAACAGAACAACTTCTAAAACTGCAATAGTCTTAGCCACTATGTCAAGCGACACCTGAAAACAAGATCATCGAAGAACAATTATTTATGTCCATCAAACGAAAAAAAAAAAAAAAAGAATTTTGTTTATGTCGCGGAAATTTTCATATTACTAATTTAGATAGTAGGATCACCAGCTCCTACAAAATGAGACTGTGGAGAGGTTTTGACTTTTGACTTGTGGCAAAATGAAGGATTTCTAGATCACCAAAAACAGTTAATCACGTTACAAATGTACGGAAAATCTTATTAATCTCTATTTGTGATTTAATTACTATAATTTAGCAGCCTATTAAAACCGTCACATAACAATGTAAAATTTACTATAATATATATATATATATATATATTTTTTTACCTAGTGGTTTTAATGTATACAGTAATGCATCATAAATAACGATGCTGATGGACCAAACCAGGTTGAACATAGCCAAGGCTAAGTAGACACAATATTAAGTAACCTCTTGTTCTTAACAGAGCATTATACAAAACAAAGAATAGTGAAGCAAAGAAACTGAATTTGATACATAGCTAATTCCTATAGTAAAATCTGGACAAAAGTATTGGCTTTCATCTAGTATCTAAATGAAGCAGTAAATTAAACTATGAATGTAGTTTATATAAACCTAATAAGCTTCCTCTGGTTTTAAAGAACATTATTAAGATCAAATAAACTAACACTTGGAAAAGATAAGAAAGAGTGAAGCAGATAGCTAAAATTTGATACATAATTCTGGAGATAGAGCTGACTAATAAAACTACCACATTAATGTCACACCTTAAGAAAAACTAGTAGCACACAAGGATAGAGGGGAGATACCAAATTGACTAGCTGTAGTAGTACTCATAACAACCTTTTTTTTAACTTCCAAAATGTACCTCTTATTTTAGCACACTTACAAGACTAATTAGTACTTAACAGACAACATCTTCAAGCAAGCATCTTCAACCTTTTTTAACTAGTTGAGTTCCCTGCCTAATTAGTACTTAACAGACAACATCTTCAAGTAAGCATGACAGCGCAGTTGCAGATGAAGGCGTTGAGCCGGTTGCCGCCGTACTCGAGCAGCCTCCAATTCAGCACCTCAGCATCCGGATTAGGGCGACACACGTACATCACTCCGAGCCCCTCTGCAAAGGCATCACCGTTGCCGCCAATGACTAGCAGCTCGTTGCCAAGGGACTTAAACGCGACGCCCCAGCCGCCTACAGAGCCTGCGGCCACGGGGACAGGCCCTAGCGCCCTCCAGCTCTTGGCTTGCTTCGCATACACCTTGACTTGGTTCAACGAGGGGTCGAGCGAGTAGAGCTCATCGTCGACCACCGCAACGAGCGGCGGCGACCTCAAGGCCATCACCACCGTCCCCTCCAACATGTTGGGAATCAGCTGCCATGTCTTACTCTGCACATCATAGGCCTCAGCGCAAGTCAAAACACCATCTACGCGGTTTCTTCCTCCAATGACGTAGAACTTCTTGTCCATATAGAAACCTGAGCAATTCCCTCTCTTCTTGTGCATGTCCGGGAGAGACTCCCACGTCTCGCTCTCTGGATTATACCTCTCGGCGGAGCTCAAGTATTCGCCTTCAAATAGCCCGCCGGCCACATACCCAAAAGCGCCGCAACTCGCCCAGGCGAACAAGTTCCTCGAGTTGATCATGGAAGGGCCTTTTAACCACCTGTTTGTGACCAGATTGTATCTCCAGATACAACAACCACCATTGTCTTCCTTTCCTAAAATCCCATCAATATCATTATAAAAATATCGGTATCAGTGAAAATATTGCACAATACTTCAAATTTGGTGAGTTTCAGAAATTATTATTTTATAGTGTTAGATTTTAACACTTAGACCAGACAATGAACAGGTTATGTTGTAACATAGGAAGAAACTCGAAAATGTAAAAGACCCAATATATTATGATAATTTTGAAAAAAAAAAAAAAAGATAAAAGAACTCACGACCTCCTATTATGATACGATGTTAGATTTCGATAAAAGGTACGTGCCTGAAACGAGAAGGTGAGTACCGACACAAAGGGTCTCCTTGTCAGCATTGTGGAAAGCGTAGTTGCCGGGTAGGTGGGGGAGTTCTCTGAGGGCGTTGAAATGACGATCAAAGGCCCACCAGTTCTGACCGGCGGCGAGCATGAAGACTGTCGGTTCTTTGAACCCAAACTCTCTCCTGACCTTGTATATCTCGCCGCTCTTTAGGAGTGACAAGAATCTCTTGTTAACGAGAGAGAACTTACCATATTCTGACCTTGGAACTCTGGCCAATATCTGAGCTTCGACCTCATCAATCAGCTGAGGCACTTTTGATGAACAGTAATCTGCATCCTGAGGTTCTTCACGGGAGGAATGATAATAACTTCCTTTTCCCTTGTGGGAATTATTGGAATCATTAATTGTTTGAAAATCTTCATTTGTTTCTTCTAAGCCGATCTCTTGTTTGAGTTTCTTCTGTTCCAACATTGGTGAGAAGAAAGTACCCTTTTGAGAAGTGATCAAAATTCTTCTGTGACAAACAAACAAATTACAATCAACCAATAGAAATGACTACTATTAGCTTTGTCAAAAGAGGAAAACAAAATAATAGGTAATTGACATTATTGGTCCTTAATTTTTTTATTAGGTGACAGTTTAATCTTTATTTTTTTTTAGTTTTAGCAAAATGGTCCTCAAGCTCTTAAATTGTTAGCATTTAAACCATTCCAATAATGCCAATTACCCCAAAATAATTTTAACTACTTTGAGGTTTTATAAATATAGAAAGATAAGAACATATAGAGATAGTACTAATTGAAAGATATAGACTCCATGAGGATTTCACATACCTAAACAAGAAGTAGTAGTAGTAGTAGTGCAGATCAAAGTCAAACACCAACTTCTTCAAAGGACTAATCACAGCAGAACCCTATTTAATAATAATTAAAAATGAAACCATAAATATTTCTCATCAAATAAGATAGAGACACTATTGCATCATGTGTTTGACCAATATTTAAAGCGCAAACACACGCATATATATGTTTGTTATATATATATATATATATATATATGAGAGAGAGAGAGAGAGAGAGAGAAGCATACCAGAGAAGTAAAGGGAAATATCAAACGAGAAGTTTTTCACAATTTTAAGGGCCTAAGGCACTAAAGATGTAGATGGTGAAGATATTAGAAGCAGGAGAAAGGGAGGAACAAGGAATAATGGCCATGCAACGAAGGCCATTCAAGGACAGAGATTTGTTAGAAAGAGAAAATTAATTACTTCTTCAACTCCAACCAGGACCCAAGGAGAGAAGACCAATCTGTTGGGTCTTTACGCTTAGTTTTTGTACTCTCCCATTTTTCACCCATTGTACTATCCCCAACAATATAATATTAATTATATATTTAATTAATAATTATTATTATAATAATCACTGGCAGCCCCCACTAAGAACACCACCAAAATTTTTAATGTGAGAGAGAAAGAAAGGTTGATGATATCTTTCCTTTGATCCTGGGGGTGACTGATGAAACCAGAGGAGATTTGTTCTTTTTTTTTCCCCCACCTTTTCTAGCTCTTTCTTTTATTTTTCTTTATTTTTTATTTATTTCCATGATTCCAAATATGATAATCTCTGGCCATGTCGGGGGTTGGACACTAAACCCCCTTGCTCATGGGTTGTTGTGAGTTGTGACAAAACGCGCTTAGTCTTCACATAAATTGTTTGTATAATAATATTATATCAAAACATGAAAATACAGTAAGAAAAATACTATCTCGATCCTAAGTAAAAGCTTTCTTACCTTTCTTTTAGTTCAACTTTTATCTTTATTGACTTGAATGCATAAGTACGAGTAAGCCGATTTAGTTCAGAGTTTTCTGTACACCTAAGAATTTTTTTTTCCTAAAAAAAAAAAATAACGTAGAAAGCAAGAGATTAGAATTCGATTCGAGTTTTGCTACAGTAAAAAGTTTTCAAAAACAGTCACATCTAGCTTTTTTGTTACAGTAAAAAGCTCTCACATAAAGTCACATATCAATTCAAATTAAAAACTCGAATCAACGAACTACACGGACCCTTAGTTATATTAGGCCTTAGGAAAATCAAAGGTCACCAAATAGATGACTAGCGGCTTAATCATGTATAGAACAATGCCATTGAGAGTTCTATTAACCCTCTTTAGCAAAGGTAATGAGAACTGAATTCACTTTAACAAGTTGATTAATTTTCTAATCTGAGGAAGGTGGCCAACTTCACTTAGCTGTCCTGTTTTTTTTTTTTTTTTTCTTTCCTCTCTCTCTCTCTCTCTTCAAATAATATTATTAATATTAGAATGAAATAGACAATTCACCAAATTAATGTAGGAAACTACACGTGCATTTGTAATTTTGCATGCGAACGCATATATAATTTGGACCAGCAATGATAATTTCTCTCGTGACTTCTCCTTTCTTTGTTAGAGATTAGAGCACGTAAAATATATATTTTATGGGAAATTATTTAAAATTTATATTAATAAATAACTTATTTACCAATATATAAAAAATAATAAGTCTTATTATATTTTGATTTTTTTTCATTTATCAATTTTACTCTTTTTCTTTTTATTTTATTTCATTTTTTTCTCTTTCTCTTTAAATCTCCTTTTCTCTCTTCTCTCGCTACCTGTATTCCTTCGTAAATCCTTCATTTACAAGTTAAATTCTAAACTTTACTAATATAAGATAAAAAAAAATTTTAGTTATACTCGTAAAGCTAAGATTTAAAGTATGATAAATCCATGATTTACAATCAGAACGCAAATTGTGTTATTTGTAAATCCTTGATTTACAGTGTAAATTTAGGATTACCATCAAAATACAATTTTTGTTCATTCGTAAATCTAAAATTTACCATCAGAACTCATATTGTGTTATTCGTAAATCTTGAATCTACACAGTAAATGTAGGATTTACTATCAGAATACATTATTATGTTATTCATAAATCATGAATTTACACAATAAATCTTAAATGTTACTATGAGAACACATATTGTGTTATTCGTAAATAGTATAAATTTAAGATTTATTGTTACTGGATTTTATTAACTTTACTAATATAAGATAAATATTTTTTAATTTTGCTCATGAATCTTGGATTTAGCGCACTATAAATTCATGATTTACCATCAGAACATAGATTGTATTTCTTCATAAATGCTGGATTTACAGTGTAAATTCAAGATTTACTATCATAATACATATTATGTTCATTTACAAATCTTGAATTTACATCGTAGAGAACAAGGAGATAGAGAGACATATGAAGAGAGAGTCAAAGTAAATTTTAGGATTTTTTTTATGTTTTAATTAAAGGCATTTTTGAAATGTTAATTTAGTGTAAATTCAAATTTACATCTATTAAGCCTATTTACTAATTAATTATAAAACTTGCTCTATTTATTTTTATTGTCTTTTTAATCAGACCTATTTCTCTCAATCTCCCTGTTTTTATTTTATTCTAATCTATACCATTTCAAGATAAACATCAATGGGTTGGGAAGAATCAAGTTAGGGGCGAATTTGGAACTTGATTAAATTAATTAATTAAAATCATCCGGTCTAGTGGGTTTTAATAAATTTGCTCATTAAGTACTTTCTAATTATTGATACACACGTTTTCTTTAACTTTAATTTGTTATGACCAAATTCCATTCTCCAAGAGCTAGCCTTTCAAACTTTTGAACTTATTGTAACATAGTACTAAAGTTCTTAAAAGGATCCGTAGGTAATCTGGTAGAAGTGATTTTGATGTAAATAATTAATTACTATATGGTTACTAAGATGATGACAACTGGCTTGTAAGTAATTTACTGTATAGTTTCTAACTTACTAAGATGATGACATCTGGGTTGTAGGGAGATACTTCCGATGAGTTAAGCTCATCTTTAACAGTTTCTACCCAAAAAGAAAAAAAAATCATCTTTAACAACGACCATTTTTTATGGAAACTGATCGCGGATTCCAACAACTGAATAAACAATACTAGGGTCGTCTTACACACTACACTTATATCTATATGTGCGCATATATATATATATATATATATTTACTTGTTTATTTGATATCAGAAAAGATGTAGACATCATATTAGAAATATTCAGTGACATGATGACGATGAGGGTGGTTTTAATCTTTTTAAAACCAACTCGACAATGTGTGTAGAGCCTTGTTAATTACTGTCATAAAATTATAGGTTTCCTATATTTAGGTATGGTATTTTTTTTTTAATAAAGGAAGATGTATTTAAAAATCAGAGAAATATACGCTCTAATTCTGATTGGATGATTTCAAATCATAAAGAAACTTAATCTTAATAATAGATTGGTTCAACCATTAAATTTGAATGAAGCACACCGTGAGATAACACATGCATTATATTCTAATAAAGGAAAATCAAAAGGGCACACTGAGCACATACAAGGATCTTTCAATAATACATTTATAATCAATAGAAGATTCTGATTAATTGAGACTAAGAGACCTATATCCATAAGGTCCGCAACAACACTATTGTGAAATGTCACAAGTAGATTTGATAAAAACTAAATCGAGGAGTGGGAAAATCACCTCTATTATTACAACACAAACGCCAAAGTATCAAAATAGAAAAATACACATCCTACTCAGTAGAAAAATGCATCGCCATTATTGAACTAAGAAACCTAAAGACCTCTTAACACGAACAAAATCACTGCGGTAAGCCGGCCAACATGACCATAGAGAATATATCAGCAAAGACCCACACAACTCCACCATCCGGAAGCACCACCAAAGCACAATGAAAACCCATGTGACTCTACTATCAAGAAGCACCACCACGCGACTCCACGGACGTTGAACGCCCATCCACAACCGGAGTGCCTCCCACCCGGCCTAATCCAGCCACAACCTAACCACGCCACAACCACTCGAGCACTAGTAACCACAAGATATCCATGAACACTGCGTGACATGCAGCTCAACCATATCACCGTACCCCGAGCAATGTGTCCCTTATCCTTGTAGTGCCACCCCAATTAGTACCGTAATTCGACCCAGCCTAGTCCATGCTACCCAAACTAAACTTACGTACCTAAGCACCCTAAAACCTAGGTCATGCTACCAACCCTAAATCCCAATATTTAACGACACAATTAATTTTGTACATCTTTACTAAATATAAACAAAAGCAAAAGCAAAAATTACAAATTACTAAAGGTTGGCAATATACAATTTCATTCTTTTAATTGGAGTTAATGTGGTAATATGTTAATTAAAAGACAAATTAAACAAAACAAATAACAAAAAGAGGCTGGGAAATGGGAATCAATAACTTCATCATTTCTGTTACTTGGAATTAATTTTGTAATATGTTGACAAACAAATCAAAAATAAAACCAAAACCAAAACCAAAAAAAGCAAGGAATCAATAAACTTTGTCATTTTTTTACTTGAAATTTATTTTGTAATATGTTTTTTCTTGTTAGATACCGATCATATTGCGTCTCGGTCTACGTTGTAAAAATTTACAGAATCATGATGTATATGTTACAAAATCCTATTGGTGAAAGTGATTATATATATGACATAGTTCATATACATGATGTGTGTGAGAGTTTGCCGAGTTGGTCAGGTTTACGCTAGGATTAATTATGAACTCACCCCAAATTCTGGTTGTATATAATGAGAGATTAATGATAGATAATAAACAAATTAGGTACTATATATGATCAGAACTCTTGAAATGTTACAAGCCCTTGTCATGGGGTTGCTTGATGATCATGATCACCAACATCAAATGCATATTTATGGTGATTAGTGACGATTAATCTCTGTGATCATCATATGAAATCCATATCTGATGCTGATGGGTTCCCGCAATATAATCTTTCTAAATCGTTTTTAATATATTATTTTATTATCAAATGCAGAGTAATCTATAATCTCATAGGGACACTTTAGAGCTGGTCTAGATCAAAGAGCTAGTAACCATACATTAATTAAATATACGAATCACAATTAAGATTAAGACGATATATCACCAACGAGTAACCCAAGGAAAACATTGGAATATTATAGATCAGCAACTGGGTTTAATATTTAATTTAAGTACCATTAACATCTATCCTACTCAGATTGTACTAATCGAGAATATTAAGGAACTAATTAAAAACTCCCATTCGATTAGTTTTATCACACCCAATGACAAGAAGATGCCACGCCCTAACCCTAAAAAGTCCAAGACCATTGGTTTAAACCTTCTTTTCAGAGTTCTTTTCTCCCTTAATTATTATTCTATTCTATTACTTTAAGTTTTTATGTTATCTTTCCAGTACTGATTAGTG